TGTACTTCGAGAAATTTGGCTCGTTATTTAAAATACTGTAAATAAAAAAAGGGGTTGAAAAACACTGATCTGTAAGATAGTGGTTGAAAGAGAGAAGTAAAAATCCTTTTTTTTTTTTAGAGAGAATTCTCTGCTTTTGTAGTTTTCTGTTATTTCTTTGAAAATGATGAAACTCAATGCCAGATCGCCAGATGGATGATGGTTCCCGGATGATGAAGATTTACATACTGCAATAACATCTTCCGTTATCATCCTGCTGTATATACGTATATATTATATTTTTTGTATAATGCTGCGATGGAAGAAATCCGAATACATGCAAATGGTAGAGCAGAGAGGATCTCAATTTTGAGGAATTTCCCTTAATTTCTCGCGCGTTCACTCCCATTCGCGAGAACCGTTAGTCGTCAAGCACGGCGGGCTTCCTATACCAGCTTATTATTAGCTACGCCCTACGCGAGGCATCCGAGAACCGGCGATTATTAAAATCTCCCTCTTCCCTCCCATCCTCCCTCCAGACATGCTATTACATTTCGATGCCGATCGATTGCCGTCGAGTCGGATATACCTCTTAGGTGAATAATTAACCGCACGAGCGGCTTAACCCTTGCGAGGCAAAGTGGATGCACTCTCGAAAAACGTAACGTCATTCGCGACGTTTTTCTTTTCGCCCGCATCTTTTCGCGTGCATCATCGTTGCAGGCGGATCGAAAACGCACAGAGCCGGCGCGGCGTTGCAGAAACTTCCGCCTGGTGCTTCGTATGTACGATATGTACGCCACTTTCGCATGGGGAAAAACGTTTACGGGAAAATTATAGCGCTGGCGAACACGCGGCGTGCACATTCTAGAGAGGCCGTAATTCTCGTCCCTCTTACCCGCGAAGAACGGCCGGTGTTCGGTTATTCGACGGCGATGGGATTCAAACGGCCACAAGGACGTTCCTCGAGAGAATATATTCGGCGGACATTCGGGCGCAGACACGCTTCGGTAAATAATTTAATATCCTCGTAGGAGCGCCCGCGTCGCCGCCCTTGACACCGGAGTTTCGCCCCGTGAGCACGAACAATATCCGCCTTGAACTCCTCCTCCTGCGGTTTGCCTGAGACACATGTTGCAGATTTGGCCATTCTTAAAAGTATTCATTCAGCAAACTTTCTGATACATATATGGCCAGCTTCGATTTTTCGGTCTCCCCCCTCCTCTCTCTCTCTTTCTCTTTCTCTCGTAGGAATGTATACCATTTAGTCAATGGCTGAAACTGTGTGAATTATTCAAACTCTCGCTCGTGTTTTCATAAAATGTTTTCGCAATTACCGTGTAAATTCTAAGCAGACGTTTAGTTATGTCTTGCACTTTTTTTAGAAACTCTGTTATTACCGTTGTTTTTATAGTCTGGATTTTAATGATTCCTCGCGCAATGAAATCGACTTTGATAGATAGATTTTCAATGCGATAAGGAATACCGGTTTATCTGAATTGTAGGACTGTATGCTTTCGCGTTAATTTACGATAATGCGAACTGCAAAGGCGGTCGGTAGTTTTCGCCGTAACATGGTTTCTATTAAAGCCTTTAAATATAATCTATGCTAATGAAAAATAAGTGAAAAATGAAGAAAACAGACGTCGTGATATATGCGAACATATTTGGAAGAAATTTATCTTAAAAAGAAGCATTTTTGACCAAAAATTCAAAGATATCACATTTTTTAATACAATATAATATTATAATGACGTTATGTTTAAGAGGTATAGACTGAAGATGACTCAAAGTTGAGTTGAAACTTCCCAATATTTTTTTGTATTAATTTATTATTAAAATATTACGCATATTTACAACCAGCGTTGATTCCTATAACCTTCACACTTATATTTATTATTTTTGTATTAATAAAAGGAGTCTTTAACAATTAGTTTTAATTTAATTTATTAGTATTAATATAATATTATAACTGAAACAATTTGGTTTATTGTGCGCGGCATTTTGGAAAAATATTGGGAAAACGATTAAAAACGATTAATTTACATCGCACAAATGATTGAAACGAAAGATTTACACGATTATTAATATCTCCAGATCCAGTTAATGTTTCAAATTAGTAAAAAACTGCCGATTTCAGGATCATCATTGACGCCCTGCTCCGAGAGAAAACATCCGCGCTCGGCCACCATGCGTTACGTTCAATTTACCGTTCGCATTATCAATTTCGACACGCGAATTGCCTCATAAGTATTCATAATTGCCCGACACGAGGCTCTGGTTGCGTCAAAGCCAGGAGAGTCTTCGTACGCGCTATAATAATAATCCACGCGGAAATAATTCCGCAACGCATACTCAACGCACGCAGTCGGAGACGAGCGTTGCTGTATAATTCTAATGGCGACGATTTTAACGCTGACCCACTTCGCTTCCTGTTTTCCGCGAGCACCCCGTGTTCCAACTGTACACGTTTAATTACTACTAGGAATACCTCCTGGGAATCTTCCTCATACGCGCCGCAATAAAACAGTACCGGAAGAAATCAACAACGGGGGTACTCACGGTCGACCTTCTCTGCCGATCGTGTGGACAGATTTCGCGCGCGATACGAAAGGTTGCAGTACCGTATAAAATTGTAAGCATGAAATATTAGGGAATTTTTGCAATAACGTGAATTCAGACGGTGAACTCTAAAGTCACGCTATCCTTTTCTTAATTAGTTGTTAAGAAGGAGATAACCTGACTTTAGCGTTCACTGTATCTGGATAAACGCTATTGCAAAAACTCCCTATTATCAAAACACGACATCCTTTATACTGTCGTTACGCTAATTGAAAAACGGAATTGTTTTATAAGTAGGAAGATTATTAAATTTATGGTAATTTCTTCTATCTAGCTGTCTGCGTTGATCATCAATCTTGAGACGTAGATTGTGTATCGCGATGAAAATCTCTGTAATTAACGGGAAGAATTAACAAAAAGATTTAGAAAGAAGAAACAAATATTTTTAGCATTTAACGATATTGCAAGTTCGATGAAGAGCTTCAGAAAGAATAATGGATTTTTTGATGGTTGACAGTTTGTCTCCACAATAACAAATTGTCAACAAAATTAACAATTAATTGTCAATTATTAACAAAAAAAGAGAGAATATCATCTCGACGTTGACAACTAGGATTTACGAATTAAGTTCAAAATTCACGTATGCCAAATATATGAATAAATGAATTGTACGAGCGAATTTGGCGAACTCGCTTAATCCTGAACTCGTAACGTCGGACGCTTCACGTCTCAGCAGAAAAAAGCGATTGCGTGCTATCAGAAGCGATGTCGGAGTCCGTCACGGACGCTGACTGGGGCGATGTGATTTGAGTACACGGCCGTAGGAAGTAGGATGGTCGCCGGAAGTCCTCCCCCGAAACATATGGTGGGGCTGTCTCTTTCTCTCTCTTTCTCTTTCTCTTTCTCTCTCTGTCTCTCTGTCTGTCTCTCTCTGTAAAGACACATACTCGCTTGTGCTCTCCCGTTTCCTGCGGCTTGCCAGTGAAAAGAGCATGGCAGCAGTTTACAAGTGGCGGCCGGCACTTATGCACGTCGCGATCGCGGCGGTCTGCCAGCTCCCTGTGATAAGCTCCCGTTGGCTATCGTGATAAAGCCTTCGACCGGATTACGGGGAGGCCCGTGTAACTCGTTCGCGAGAATTGCATGGTCAGTTTTACAAAGTCCGGCGTTATACAATTAGTAGCGTTATCCGCGTTATATAATTACGTAATTCCGTTACGCCATTGCACAATCGGTTCCGTATAGTTATACAGATAATATCGCTTCGTGAGACGAATCGTGCACGTGATCGAGACAGTCGATCGATTCTTACAGTTAATTCGGGATCCGTCGGGTCTCTGCCTTTTGAAATTATTTATCGCGGGGGACAATGACGAGTGCGGGGATCATCTCCGAGCATAATTTCTGTATTTGCAACGCGTGCACGCGGACGCGTATATATATTTTTACAGGCGCAGCGAAGCTTCTTTTCCCGTGATATCATAGTTACGCGCGACGGAACAAAAGATAGAACGGCGGGCGGGGAACGCACACATACGCGCACGTACACGCACGCACGCGGTGAAGGTAGGAAAGTGATACGGATATCTCTTCATTTCCCCGACTCCTGCGGTGCACCGCGAGGGAAGCGCACACGTTTCACCTGTGCCGATGCACAGGAAGCCGTAGACACATCGTCGTCCCAGTCGCGTGTTTACATTGAACGCGGTACGATGACTGCCGCACTAATGCAGCGAAAAAGAGTAACGCTATAATTATATGGTTCGTTCGTCGGAGATACAATTTCTTCTGCTGCCGCCCGTATTAATCCGTGATAATCTTCGAGTTTTTATCGCGTTCCCGTGATGCGTTATTGAAAATAATTGCAGGAGAATCGAAACTTCCGTGTGCTGTCGCGTAGTGATTGATTGTTAATAAATTTAATTAAAGCTCGATGACTCGCTCGATCGATGAGATATCTTTATCGCTGGGTTGAGAAGAGATATTTCCAATGAATCAGCGGGATGAATCTCCGCGTAAAACTGGAGCAATGAATGTTATCGTGGCAGGACGTGAAACCGACATCCTACGATCTCACGAGGAAAAGTTGTGATGAATTCTGATGACTTGCTCGCGAGAGCCAGTTGGGTGAAATAAAAGTAATCGTGATAGACAAAAATTCACGTTACAGCGAAATAGTAATCTGTGATATATCCTACAGTCTACGATACAATCGAACGAGCTGAGCTCGCGTTTTAGAAACCTGTTGCATTTGTAAACGTTACGAATAAACGCGATCTTACTGTTTTGAATAACAATGTGAATAACAAGGCGCGACTGTAACAGTGAAACATGTACAATTAAATCGGGAATTAGTTCGGGATACTATCGACGGAAACCGGATTTTTTTGGTCACGCTTTCACATTTTTCGCATTTGCGCTATAGAGATAAGCAAAGATTCTGCGTTGCCAAAGCTGATTAGAGATCGCATGTCCTAGAATGACCCGTTGTGAATAACATGCCGTCCACGAGACGAGCTCAGTGCACCGACGACTGCAGGTGCGTGTTGTGCCGCGAGTTGAAAGGCTACAAGATGAGCGCCAACAGCGTCGAAGTTCAGCAGCAGATCGGCCATGAGGGCACAAATTTTATCCTACGGCGGGCCGTACCTTTCTTACCGAAGCCTCCGCCGCGAGAGGAATGGCGAGAAATCGCAAGGTACGACGATTACGAGAGATGCTCGACCTTGGAAGACCGAAGTCGTCGTGGTGGCGGTGGCGGCGGCGTAAACGGTAGTCCAAAACCATGGACGCCTAACAACGACATCGGGAAAACGGGGAAGGATATAAATCACAAAACGGTCATCTATTTCGGCGATTCAAATCCGAGACAGAAAGAGGATAAAGTGAGGCAGCAACAACCACCAGTTCCACCTCCGCCTCCACCGTCATTACCGGAAGCGTGCGTGCAGATGACATCAAGGTGCAAGGAGGATCCTGAGACTTCGTTGCCTCTTGCGTTGCAATCGCGGAACGACGAGACGGTGGCTCGTCCACGAGACGCGTTGGAGCGGGATAACGAGCGGGAAGAGGATGCCGGACGACATCGAGATTCCGCGATGGAGAACGGCGATCCCAAGGCCGTGCACGAGATCGTGGTGAACGTCAGCCCCAGCAGGGAAGATGTGCTCAGGATAGAGGAGGACGAGAGCCAGCTGGAAGACTATTGGTCCTTGCCGGGGGACACGAGCGGGTTCAAGGCGGATTGGAGTTTCGTGCAGCAGTGGCGACTGAGGGGGTAAATTCACACATTGCACGCATGCACGCATGGCACGCTCGCTTGTCGTTGACGAAGGAAGAAAAAATAGATGCTGCCTTTCGGCGAATCGGAATTCCTCCCCGATCGTGCGCGTTCACTCTCGTGTTAAACGCGATACCTCGTGCCGTTTCCGCGGGCGATTTACTGACCATTTGAAGTCACACGTGCTGATAAAAAAGCATTAAGATCCGCTTTGACCGAAAAGGATTATTTATCTATTAATTAATTCATTCTTGTCGGCCTAATTTTAATTTATGACTAATATAAGATTAATTAAGATTAGTTTATTGACAAACGTCTGATCGTTTTTTTTTTTTTACAAATAATATAATATAAATAACGAATAATCTATTACGTTTTGATACGTAATTTTTAAATATTAAATTATTAATGATTCCAGCATACAGCAGAAATCAGACATTTGAGAAAATAAAAATAATCGTGACTTTTCCTTATGAAAAATGTGATCGTAATTTGTAATAGTATGTTTGATTAAATTATTGTTCAATCGTTTCACGATTTCTTGATGTAACACGAATGTATCGACGATAAAAAATTGATAAAGCAAAATTTTAGCGATTGTAACCAATTGTAACCAATTTCCAGCTTTAGTCGCGAGATAAGATAATGGAGTCATGCGTCTCATACATTTATCTCGCGAGATGGTCGAACGCGTATCTAAACATGTCACCGATTTTGCGCACTCACGAGAAGAGTTCGCCACTCTGTAATTCATGATTCACAAGCGATCCAGACAGCATCGCAGAGCTCGCGTTTGAATATCTTATCTCTTCGCGTTCATTTAATTTTCCCCCTCGTGACTGACGGATGCGCGCGTTCGAATAAAACGTTCATCGCGCTGTATCGAATCGATATCGTGTAATGGGACGTGCGTGTAAATCGTCGTGTTTGAACCGCCTCGAATCGGCATTACATATCGCGATTACGAGTTGTTTTAAGACTCCTAGCCGCGCTCGCTGATTTATTCCCCGATGTACAAACGATCCGTTCTTCGCGCTCTCCAAGGAAATCCAGATGATGCACCACTAATGCTCGGATCCCAACAGTGATGCCTCTCAAAGTGCATAATAAGTGCATTCGAGTTGAATGCCTGCGGGCCGTGGGTGTGCGTGCGTGTGTAATTTTTTCGACATTTTTTTAAAATTCCTCTTTCTCGAAATAGATTTTAAAATTTTTTAATTTTAAATATTGGACTAATGGACGACCGAACAATTGATACGCCTGAAACGTGTGATAATATGATAAGAAATGCATATAATTATATGCAAAATTTATTGGATACTGAGCCTAATCGCTTTAGAATTTATATGATAACGTGTCGTTTAGATAATCGCGATGTTAATGCACTTCGCAAGTATCGTGTCTGAAAAGTGAAATGAGAGGAACGAATTAATTAAACGCCCTGGTCAGTACATATTGCACACTTTTCGCGTAACCGTGTATATTGTATACCATAAACCAGGAATTGATTTGCCCGATACGCTACCTGCGTTGCTGCGTTTTCTGTCTCGGTATCTCCCGAGCGCGCAGTTTGCGCAACTCGTAATGTCGGATTTGAAAGTTGTCGAAGCTAAATCCTCGGCGTCGATATCGGCTAACAATGGTCGCACAATTGAATATAATAGCGATTCATAAGGATTGCGCAATGCATTCGGCGTATTATGACTGCTTATTTCAGCAGAACCTCTAATTGAGCAGACGCATTATTAGTCTAAATAATTTTAGGATCACGATATCGATGGCTCGTATCGTTTCCGACAGAATTATGCTTGGCTCGTTCTGTCCCCGGTTCTTTCCGCATCACTTTCTCTCGAGATACGGAACATATTTATATATTAACGTCGTAGAGAAGCTAAAGGTTGGCAATATTTAAAATGTCTTACGAGATTCTTCCTGAAAATCAATTATACACTTTAGGAAATCGCAAAATATCTAATACGTGAACATTTCAAAGTTGTTGTGTCACGTGCCTTTTTTAACGTTTAATGCGTTTTACCGCATTCACAATCGAGTTTTGCGGCCGCCGCAAGCTAAATAATTTTTTTCGCGAGGGCGTCATATATATCAGCTCCGTGTCGTTGGCATTCTATAGGGTGGAGAAATATTCCTTGCCTAAAAAGCCTTACGGCCGTTACAACGGCCGGTTTACAAGTGACGCGAGTCTCATTAGGACAACTCGAGAACGCAGTTCCGTTTATCCATTTCTTCGTAGATGTTACGTGACTCTTATCTCTCGAATGCGTCTCTCTCGAGAGCTAGGAATCGGACGTGGTAGTTAGCTGCGTAGATTACGACTTTTCGAGAGTGTAACTTCCACGAAGACGAGTGCCTCCTCGGAATGCACCTCGTGTTATGCGTTTGCTATTTGCTTACCCCCTTCATGCGGGGGGGGGGGGAAAGTCCGATAAGACGACGCGAGCAATCACTTGTAAGTGAGCCGCTAGAATTATTTCTGTGACAAATTAATGAGACACCGACCTATCCAACAGAATATCGGATATCATTTCTCAGTCGTTCAAATAGAGAAACCCGTCTACCGAACGAGATTTTCAAGTACATCGCCAAGTTGCTGCGAACGTTTTCTTCTTTTAAACCATAGTAGATTTTTTAACAATAAAAATATGGATAGCTTTTTTAAAATTTTCTAATTTTTATTTATTAGTAGTTAAGAAATTCCGAAGATAAGCTTCGCCAAATAAAATGAATAAGCTTATGTCGTTTATACTTTCAAGACATAATGAGAATAGACAATATGAGAAGCAATATAAATAAGAGGGAATAAATTATTTGTAGAACCAAGATGAAAATTCTTTTGCAGACCGGGCGGTGGTAATAGCCGCGAGATATATTGCCCCTCTTACTCGAAGGATTTCACCGAGAATTCTCCTAAAAGCGGAGTTCACGATATGGTCCATATGATCCCAGAAAGGGATACGGATACCGTAGCACCGACACCGACTCCGCAGCATCCACGTCATTCTCAGCACCATCATCTCAGTTTACACGAACTCCGTGCGCTTCAGGTATATCGAAATATGTCGACTTGTCTACGGGACGGGGAGAGATTTCACGGGTATATCTAATTTCTAATGCTTTTCTGACTTCTTGTAAATATTTTACATGCGAAAAATCATAAGGAATTGAAGTAAGAAAATTCCGCGACGCTCGCCGTAAAAAATTGCCGATTTTTGCAGAGGCGACCGGAATGTACTGGCAACAGCTCCTCCGATGAGAATCGATCGTCCGGACACGCGAGCATGTCGGATACTGGCGGCCACACAAGCAGCAGTTCACCACCGCATCGTCATCATAGAGCTCACAGTCCTCAGCAATTGAATGCTGTGCCCGAAGACGATCGACTCTCGGCATCGGTTACTCAAAGGAATGGCAGGAGCCGATCCGGTCAGAGCCGCAATCGACACCGAGCTACGCCCGCTAAGGTTCTAATGATCCAATTTTTATAGAACCATTCTTACATATATTTTAATTAAAATTAACTGATACTTGATGAATAACTTTTTGTTTTTTTACCGTGTCTTAGAAAATTGGAATTAAATAAAATGCTCCTGTGAGCTTTCTTAAAATCTAAGTAAATTATTAAAATGCTGTAAATATTCTGACAAATATCAATATTATAATATTATATATTCTCTTTGTTTTTATAGAATTTAATGGAAATTATCCAATCACATCTCAATTAAAATCAACTTTAAGTTGAACAAATGAATTTTCGGTTAACGATTTTGTTCTATTTTTTGAAACCCATTTTTAACATTCCATTTTGCTTGTAGCTGCAGGTACCATGGTCGGGTTCTGGTTTGGAGGATATAAAGCTAGCGATCCAACAGCTTACGATGCGCTCGCACAAGTCTTCGTCCACATACTCCTCTCTGAGTGGCTCGGAAAGCTCAGAACCTGCAGTGAGAAGGCTGATGCGACACTCCAGCTTGGAGACGATCAACACCAATGTGACTAGCGCCGATGAGTTCGTCTGGGTAGACTCTCATAATCGTCTGGTTGAATTGCAGCAGTTACCGTGGACTCACCATGATGTGTTACGTGTACTTCAAAACGGTCGAACAAGAGAACACATGGAGCAAGTCTCGATGGAGACGATTCCGCGGCTTTCCTATCTCCTACAACGTGCGCTAGTCAGGATTGGCCGCGAGACTCAGAGATTGGCAAAGCCCATAGGTCTCTGTAGCAAACACGAGGTGTACAGTGCCTTTAAGATCGTACTCTGTCCGGCTCTGGCGGATTCTTGTACCAAGGTAGGATTATCTGCAGTTACATGATATCAAATAATAATATCCTGTTACTAATATCCTGATAACTAGAGCAATATATTCTAATAATAACTGATGATAATCCAATCATGGTGGGCACACTTAACACTAAACATAGTCATTTGATACCTGCCTTGTTTAAAGGCTTGCCTTCGAGCTGCCGCGATGTTCGCTGTATCTGGCGATCAGCTGAAACAATCGAAGGCATCCCGTTCGGGGCTGCAATTGCCAGTCGGACGTTTCTTACGTTGGATGTCCGACGTGAGACTCGGGCGGATGATTCACGAGTATGCCGCGATATATCTGACGGCCGGAATCGAGAATCTCCTGGAAGAGATACTGCTACAGTGCGTGCCAACCGAACCGCATACGACCCTCACGGCGACAATGCTGGAGCACGCTATAGCCAACAGCGGCGACTTATGGGGCCTGTTACAACCGTACGCGCATCTCAACGCCGGTCGAACGGCATCGGGTTCGTAATTTTATTTTTTTTAAGAAAAGGATCATTAAATATCGGCTAACTCTCAATTATATATTGGTAAATTTATCCGATTCCAATCGTCATTTCTTTTTTGAAATTTAATTTTTATTCGTTTATTAATTATTCTGGATGGAAGACTGAAAGAATGTAGGCGATTAAGAACTTTTATTTGCGTTTAAAGATACTTAGTATGAATATCGTTTATACAATGAAACACAGATATGTTATTTTTATTATTAGCATAAATAATAATATTTTAGGCGCTCTCGCTATGCCTCGTTGGGCAAGTGTAAGTTCCTTGAATTCGTCGTCGTCGTCGCGTAGCGGACGGGACGTAGCTCAGTCAGCTTTGGAACCGTCGTTGCTTACGACATGTGTGGGATCAATGTCAGAATTGATAGATTTGATTTCCAAGGTAGCGCAAGCAGGACGCTGCCCCATACCACTGACAACGAGAGCGTTATATGCTCTATTTTATTACATGAGATGCTCGCAGGTATGATTTGAATGAAAGTAGCGCATTAATTTTTCGACAAACAATTATCAATATTGTTATATAATATTGCAATAACGCATTATTTTTAAAGTCATTTAAATACTTGGTATCATTGATCTGATCCAAATATTTAAGCTGGAACATGGCGAACGCGGGTCTGGAATACAAGAATTAGCATACGAACGAGCTTACGTTGTGTTGCCACCGTTAGTAGAATGGCTACGGGTAGCTGCAGCGCACGCCGAGCACAGACACGGTTTAGTCATGGATCAAGATGACATTAATCAAGCTGCCCGACTATTGTTGCCTGGTGTAGATTGTCCTGTTCGACCGATAAGGTCAGTCAGTCCGTAACTTTTATTAAAATAAAATTTACTTCAACATGTTATTTCAAAAGATTCAGATATTTAGATTTATTTTATGATAATCTTTATACCCTAAGATTTCTAACACTTTATGGTACAACTTGTTAAAATTTGCTATATTGCTATATGCAGCTCCGAGGAGATCGCGGTATGTTCAAAGCGCATTGACGATGCCGAATACGTTCGGTTGCTGACGCTGGACATGGCTTTCAAGATGTTGACCAGTGGACGCACGGATCTCATAGGCCAGGCAATGTCGCTGCTGCCTTCAACAAAAATTAACACCGTGAATGACGCCGGATTCACAGCTCTGATGCTGGCATGCATCAATGGTGATGAATCAGCTGTAATGGCTCTACTAGACGCCGGGGCTGATTTGAACATCGAAAGTCCACCACCCACGACAAGCTCGTCATCGAATACTCCTTCCAAGATTCCACAAACATCCGGTGTATCAAATGTTAGAAGCCCGAGCAATCAGTCGGCAATGATAACATCCAAAACTCCGAACGCAAACGTAGTGTCTAATAGCTCCAACAATCCTGGTGGAGCTATCTCCAGTGGCATGTGTTACACGCAGACTGCCTTTAATGCAGAGACGCAACACTGGACCGCTTTGACTTACACGGCTCTGTTGGGTCATTGTAATATCGCCAGAATATTGTTGGAGAGAGGTGCTGCGGTGGAAGGTGGCGCGAAACTCAGCGAGGACAAGTGCACGGTCACGCCTTTGCAAGCGGCCACAGCGTCAGGAAACAATGAGATGGTAGCTCTACTCTTGGCACACGGGGCGCAGCCGTTTCTGTCCACTTTGATCAAGGATTCGTTCTCCTACTCAGGTTCCGTGCAACGTGGCTGTTACAGGTAAGTTAGTTTTAGCACTGTATTATTTAATTATTTTCGTCAGATTTTATTAAAGTTAATTACGATTTATTGAAGGAAATCGCTATAAAACTTAGTCTATATAACATTAAAATATTATCAATGTTAAAATTGACATTAGATCGGAATGTACTCAGATTAATTAAAAATCTAATTTTTAATTTTATATTTGATAAATAGCGCAATCTCAGTAGCTACAGCACATGGTCAGAGAAGTTGTCTTCATCAACTGCTATCACATCCACTCAACTTCTCGGCCAAGCGAGGAGAGAAAGAGATATTATCTTTAGAAGAGATATTAGCGGAAGGTAACGCCGGTAATAATTCTCAACAACAGACTGCAGAAGGAAGAGGAGCTCGCAGAGAAGGCAAAGAACCAGTATTTAATAAGATACAAACGAAGGCGCTACAGGAAGCTATGTATCATAGCGCGGAAAGTAATCATTTAGGTGAGAAAATAATAGAATTTTTAAGCATATCAATTATACTTACAATAAAATATTCGGATCTTTGTTTTATATTAATTATATAATGACATACAATTTGTTACGATTAATAGATATTACCATGGAGCTTCGTGGGTTAAAAGTAGGCTGGACATTACATTGCTGGATGCACAGTCTTGCGACAGCTCACGAAATGCGATTAGACTCGGTTATAGATCAATTACTTCAAGACTTCCTTCAAGTCTGTCCGGATGATTATTCCACGCAGTTCGTGCAGGAATGTTTGCCACTTTTATTCAATATTTTTAGATATAGTAAGGTAAAAAAATTACACATTTATAAATATCACCAGTTTTGAGAGAGAGAGAGAGAGAGAGAGAGAGAGAGAGAGAGAGAGAGCGTGTGTGTGTTTATAAAATATATTATTGTAAATAAAATAATGCAATTTATTAAAGAAAATTGCACTAATGCTATTTTTATATAAAATATGCGGTTTGTACTATTTTCACAGAAGGAAGGCACGATTGCTCGCTGATATATTTTGCACATGTTTTGGGTGGGAGCCGATTAAGCCAATTAGAGATACTACACTTTCGAGTGGATCAAGAATTGATCCAAAATTTGTGAATAATCCAGAATTAAGCGATGTTCAATTTAGAGTCGAAGGTCGCGTTTTTTATGGTCATAAAATAGTACTGGTTACATCTTCCCCAAGATTTAGAAATATGTTAAGTTCCAAACTATGTGAAGGCAATCCTCCTATTGTGCAAATTAATGACATAAGATATCACATATTCCAGGTATGCAATTATTATAATAATAATTTATACATATATTTCATATGATGAACGTTTTATTTTTTAGTTATTCAATGATGATATCTTATTAATTAGTAGTTCGTTAAAAGTATGTTCAAAATAATTACATTGCAATTGATTAAAGATAATTAATAAGAGTTAATTGTCTTTAGAAAAGTTTCGATTTTCAGATGGTCATGGAATTTCTTTATCACGGTGGTTGCGCCACTTTGGAAGTTAATCAAAGTGATGTTCTGGAATTAATGGCAGCAGCCAATTTCTTTCAACTCGATGGCTTGCTCAGATATTGTGAAGCACAGTGTTCCACGATGGTGGATCTTGACAATATTGTTTCTATGTATATTCACGCAAAGGTATATTTTTATACACAACAAGTAAGAATTTAAAGCCTATAACCATATATAGTATATACAAATTTACATACATAGTATATACAAATTCATATTAAATTATTTAAACATTAAAAGATTCTGCTTCGATCGTTATGGCCATTTTTTATTTCTTGTTTGTTGAGTTGTTTTCAAATTATGTACGGTCCAATAAGATTCTTATTATTTATAGAATATTGATCATATTATTATAATGTTAATTACCGAAAAATTAATTATTATCTATAGCAAAAACATAAAGCAGTACATTTTTCTGTTAAGTTTAATTCAATCTATTTGCTCAAAAGAGATTCTACTCTTATTATCAATTCTGTACATGTATGTGTAATCACTCGATATATGCGCGCACATACAAAATTGTGTTTGATTGAGATTTACTAATGTTGGTACAATTAATTTCTATATATGTACATTCATATTATGCATATATAGTATACAGGTGTTCGGAAATTAGCGCATCAGAATATCATAGCAAGATAGAGCAGACTAAACTGAGTCCTCGAAAAATTTTTCTGAAAAGTCCTCTACATTTTGCAATTATCGCAATAGTTCGAGATATTAATTACTACAAATCGCTGCATATTGGTATTCAATAATTTTTACTCAAATACTATCAACTTTACAAAAAAACTACAAGAGACAAAAATTATTTATTCGACTCAGTTTAGTTCGCTCTATCTTGTTATATTCTGATACGCCAATTTCCGGATACCCTGTATATACATATAATTCACATTACATTCAAAGATCCAGCTTCGATAGTTATAGGCTTTAAGAGGGGTTTCTATTTTGTTGGCCAGGAAAAATGGGTAATTTTTAGGAATTTATAGAAAAGGAACTATTAAAAATAAAATTCTAAAATTTGGAATACATTTAAATTTATCTTAATTAAACATAAAAAAAATCTCTTTCATTTGTATGTCGATTTCCATAAATTTTCTTTTCTTGGATTTATGTCCAGGCCGCACATTACTTGCTTTACTTCCTTTCGTATTAACAAACATGATGCAAAACTGAAAAAATAATCGTAAATAAGAGAAAACTTGAAGAACGTCCTTTCACTTCAACGTTTCGAAGTATACTGAAATAAAAATGGAGAAAATGACTTGGCTAACGGTGACCACGTAGAAATATGATAAAAGAATAATAGAGCAGCTGCAAAGACCCAAACAAAAGAAGACGACGCGCAGATAAGCCGCAGCGCTCCGCCCTAGCGCTCCGAAAGACTACCTGACTCTTCAACTATCAATTTTTCGAATTTTAATTTGAAATTTTTACCACATATTTTTGAAAGTACAATCTTTAAGAATATATAAAAAAAATCGATTTTTTTGACCCAACAAAGTAGAAACCCCCCTTAAATTCTTACTTGTATATTTTTATAATAGAGTTTTCATACAAATATTGCACGTTTTAAATTATCATTTAATAATTTACCAAATGTTTAAATTTACAGGTATATAATGCCGCACAGCTTTTAGAATATTGTCAAGGATTTTTGTTACAAAATATGGTGGCTCTTTTGACTTATGACGATTCGGTCAAACGTTTGTTGTTTGCGAAAAAATTACCGAATCACGACGTTCTCGCAGGTCTATTGCTCACATTGCAATCACGAATAAAAGCCAGACGATCTCAACAACAAAACAAAATAAAAGCTTAGATATATGCTCTTGCATCAATATAACAAGATATGAAATTATATAAGAGCATTATAAAATTAATAGGAACTATATATAATTCCTATTTCAAAAGATACTGAGATTTAATTTTACATGTGTATGGAGATTGTTACTAACACAAAATTGAAAATTATTCTATTTTAAAAGGACGTATATAAGTCTCATTGCAATAATTTTTTAAATAACAATTTTGAATTAAGAGAACGTATTTATATTTATATATATGTATGTACATTGTATATTAAATTAAAATTTTTACAGCACATATGTGCGTTTTTATAAGTGTGTGTTTTTATAAGTTATGAAAATAGTTTCTTTTACGAGAATAGCCTTTCACAAAATATTGCCTTGTAAATAAGATTGTATAAGAAAATTTTATACAGATATTAATTTTCCGCATATGTAGAAATCGATTTCTATTATTAAATATAAACTTTTTGACAACAGATATTTCGATCATTCATATATATTTTTTACCACAGAAATAAGTTTTTTATGTTAAAAATTATGTAATGTATAACAAAAGATCCATTATTGGACGTAAAGAATAATAAAATACTTAAGCTTTGATATTATTTTTCTACTAGCAATTTTGAAAATCAATAAAAGATATGGATATCTTTGATTTGTATGTATTTCTTTATGCACTTATGCTTTTTCATGCTTTTACAATACCGAAGATTGTATATTTTAAATGTATTTTTATATTTCTTGGTATAAATCAATATATTATATAATCACATATCATATACAGGGTATAAAAAAACTTTTATTTGCAAAGAACAAAACATAATTTAATGCCTAATATTAATTTAGCACATACAAATCAACAATGATAATAAAGCTATTATACTTGATATTAAGCGTAAGTATCGATATCAATATCATAGCACTATTTATTTAAATGATGTTAATGTGATTAATTGTATATACAATATTCAGATTATAATCTTAATTATTATACGTTGGATTTTTAAGATTCGGAATGCCTAATAATCATATCAGAATCGGGTAATCGTAGGAAAGTGGCTGTCTCAATCAAATTTTTTGTCTAACAGTACATAATTTCAAATACAGACGGCATTTCTTTAATAATATAAATTATAAAATAGCATTGATTAAATAATCTACGTCGCAATAATATCCGAAAACTTAAGAAAATTTAAGTTACGTACAATGATAATACTCTTTGTATATATGTTAGGTTACAATATCTAAAAATTATTTTTTCTATTTTCCATAAAATTTAATACACATCTTTTTAAAAATATATTTTTGTTATTCATGTGAAAATTATTTCATAGATATAACATGATAAAATAATACAAAATTATTATTTGCAAAAAATTAATTAGCACCTGCATATTGTATGAGAAAACTTCCAATAAAATTGTAATTATATTTAATTAGAATAAAAATATAAATTTAAATGTATAACAAAGTATACATAATTTAAATGACACTGCTGTTCAGAAAACGTATATATATATATATATACATATATATACACACACACACATATATATACAATTTAAATCATTAACCAAGTCAATTATATAATACAATTTTATTGGAATACAAGAGTATTTTTCTAATTGATTATATGCCAATTATAGTGCTAATTATAATGCTTACAATTTTCGTCTATCTAAGTTTGGCTTTCTTTGCATTACAGCAATTTATTAACTATAATTAGTACTCATATGTGTAATAATATTTATTCTGATTGATAATTTAGACCAATATACGAAAATGTTTAATACAAATGCGATTAAAATATATATACGCAAAATTTTGTGTTAGTTTGATTATAATTATGTATATGTTTTGTTAATATCATTTCATCATGGCGACAATAAATAGATAACATTTTTCTTGTGCAGTTTCATACGCGAAACGTGCGTCTTCTACTTATTTATAAATCTGTTTACAAATTTTTTGTATAGAATATAATTCTCTCTTCTTTTATGCATTATTAAATATATCTAGATAGATCTTGCTAAGGAAACACATCAGTCAAGTTGATATACAGTACCAACAATATATGTTTTCAAACTATAAATCGATATTAACAAATTTCTGTTATTGACACGAATATTTGTATCACCATTGGATAGTTTAAAGCTATTGAAGCATATGATGCTAAAAAAATTTTTTTTACGCATAATTAAAGTAATACTTATGATAAATAATAGAATTTTTTGTTTTTAGAATACGAAATCTTTCATATTCAAATAATATAAAAAATTAATATTATTTAAAATAACTATATTGTATATTACAAGATAGACATGTGAAAAATAATAAAGGCATTTTAGCCTTTACTCTGATGTCCTAATATTTTATTCAATAATAATTCAGCTAGAGAGTAAAAACAGAATTTAAAAAAGCTTATAAAAATTCATATTTTACATGTGAAATTATTAAATACTGTTTTATAAAATTTCAAAATGGCTATAACATCTCCAAAAATACAGGAGACAATTCCATTGGTAAGCAGATATAAAATAAGTCTCTATACTCTCCTTGTTACATCTCCAATATATAGAAACGAGCAAAACGAGATGGTCCTTGAAGAAACTACTTTCAAACGACATATGAGATAGATTGAGACAACCCTTTTCGTTAATCAGTAAGACCCGCGCAAAGGCTAGGGTCGCTAACTTAATTTAATGACTAGAATAACAGTTAATACAATGGCAACTATAATCGCAAGTAACAACAAGATATAAACTTTCCGGCGAAATTTACTTTGGTAATTACTTCCCTTCTCCAGTTCCTGCGCTCCTAGTTCGACATTGCCGTGTATATTCTCTATATGGTTGTCAATTGTATCTAGAAAAAAATTGTTAGGTTCCATTAAGCGTGTGTATTTTCATTTGTAACAAGATTAAATTGAATATTCTAAATTGAAAAATTGAATTAGAAGACTGTGTTTTATATATTTTACAGTTTTTCTATTACATCATATAGAAAACTTACAGTTGTTATATCTATAAGATTATTAGCAGCGAAAAGAGGATACTTACCAATAGTATCACCTTGTTGATGCACCAATGCCGCGAGTTCGCGCATAATTTGATTTACATCCAAAATATCGCCCTCAATACGTTTTATCCTATCCTCTCTCTCTAATAGTAGCCCATGTTGAAATTCGAGTGTCCTGTACATGCCATAATATACACTGATCACATGTTGTTTCTAATATAAAGTCTCAGAATATGTCATTTTTTTGACAAGATTGAAACTGACTTACCATATATATTTTATAAGTTTTCTATATTAATAATACATGTCGCGTAAGTAATTAATCTTTTCACTGAAATTTTAAGTTCTATTTTTTTTTTGTCACAGGCATGCTATAAAATCCACAAGTTTTATCGCTATCTCATCCAGAAAATCTTACAATCTTCGTTAGTCGATACAATGAGAGCTTCTATGCTTACAGCATTGTCCAAAATGCAATGAAAACCATTGCTATTGTTCCAACTAAGCAAATAGGTAAGATTTTCTGCATTACTTGTGAGCATACAAATACTCCATTGTTTTGTGGGAATGCAAAAGATATTATTTCCAAACCTTTGAGTAGTCCTGTGCTCTTGTTCCTGTACTAGAAGTAGGCGGTGTGTCTCTTCAGCGTCATCTCCATCCATTGAATTTTCTATATTGGTCATAGTTAAAATATGTCTCTTCATCTTCTCAACAATTGACTGTAAAGAACACCTTGTCATTAATATCAAACAAAATGAAAGTTTTGTGATTATTAATTCTTTGTCAATCAAGACAACTATTAGAGACATATCTCATATTCCATACCTTCTGCATATCGGAATATCTCTGTAATGCATCTTTAAAATCTGTCGTGAGTTTTTCAATTTGTAATTTTTGCTGTTTGTCTCCACGTCTCATCAGCATCGTCAGTCTCGCTATGTCTTTGCTTATCTGCGTAACCACTTGATTAGTACTCGATTGTGTTACATGTCTGAAAAGATAGGAATATAAAATTTAAATTGAATGCATTATTTTCAAATACATTATATTGACTTCTGTATTCCTACTATAATTCTTACTATTATAATTATTATAAATTTTTATTGTACTTACACTTTGTCTCTCAAACCTTGATTATCCTTGCTGGTTCCGATATTTTTGTAAGCTCTTTCCAAAATCTTCCAACTCGCATTAATCATATATATGTTAGTAGTAATATTTTCACAGAGACTATAAAGTTCAGTAGGACTAAATCCTATTTCAGGTACATCCACCCGTTGATCCGTAGACCCATAGTTCTGAGGACGCTGAGCCATTCTGTAAAGAAGATCCCAGCTTTATATATCGTAAAATAAATTTATAATAGATAAATGGTAGATAATGTATCAACTTAAAGTATTTCAAGTTGTTACATTATCTAACGTTAATAATAAAATACTGCTATCTCTTGCAAAAATAAAAAGAATAACAAAAGTAGATATAAAAAGCAATACTAAAATTACACAAAAAATATGATACACAATCCTTTAAAAATTACATATATAATTATATCGGATAATATAATTATAATAGCATTTTTTGGTAAGATATATCAATGTCTCTCCATAATGTGACTTCTCATATGTTACTATATGAATACTTACTCCAAAGAATTGATCAGTTACATGAATATAAAATATAATTACTTACAAAAAAATTAATTTGCTAATAATACTTGCAGCAATTACTTGTAAAAAAAATGCAAAATAGAACTCGTTCTTTTTGTATGCGCATTCTAAATGTTTGACAACGTACAAACTTGTTAATAGGGCATAGATTTATGTAAGAATTAGTTCTCGCGATGAGAATTTATTGTCGGGAGATCGTCGCTCGTTTCTCGTGATATTTAAACGCTTAGAAATACGATGGCACGAACGTCACGGTCGCGGAGCTAAATTTACGAGACGCTCCTCGCGCAACGAGACACGCACGTACACATACACAGGAAGGGATTTAATAGTAAACGGAGCTAGGAAATCTCTATGAAAAACACCCAAGTCTGAGGGGT